TGCAAAGTGAGTTTGAGATGAGCATGATGGGGGAGCTCTCATTTTTCTTGGGACTCCAAATCAAGCAAAGAAAAGATGCCATCTTCATCAATCAAGCTAAGTACGTCAAAGATATACTCAAGAAGTTTGGACTGGAAAATGAGAAACCTCATGACACTCCAATGCGCTCTTCAACAAAGCTTGACTTAGATGAAGGAGGTAAATGTGTAGATATTAAATTATATAGGTCAATGATTGGATCTCTACTTTATCTAACTGCAAGTAGACCGGACATTATGTTTAGTGTTTGCTTATGTTCTAGATTTCAATCATGCCCTAAGGAATCACATTTACTAGCTGTTAAGAAAATCTTTAGATACCTTAAAGACTCTCCTAGTTTAGGACTTTGGTATCCTAGAGACTCTAGCTTTAGCTTGCATGCTTTTTCTGATGCGGATTATGGAGATGCAAATTAGATAAGAAAAGCACCTCTGGTACTTGCCAATTTCTTGGAAATATGTTGATTTCTTGGTTTTCAAAGAAACAAAATTGTGTTGCATTATCTACTACTGAAGCCGAATACATTTCAGCTGGTAGTTATTGTGCACAAGTTTTATGGATGAAACAACAACTTTTTGATTATGGAATTGAAGTTGGCATCATTCCTATCAAGTGTGACAATACTAGTGCTATTTGTCTCACTAAAAATCCCATCCAACACTCTAGAACTAAGCACATTGAAATAAGACATCACTTCATCAGAGACCATGTCACTAAGGAAGATGTAGTTCTAGAATTTATGGATACTTTGCACCAATTAGCGGATATCTTTACAAAACCTTTAGCCAAGGAACGATTTTGGACACTTAGGAGAGAATTAGGTTTGACCAACCTATCTTCACTTAGTGTTTAAAATAATTTTAGCACTTTTAATAATAAATGAAAAATGCTTATAATAGTAATTTTTGATTGCATTCATTGCTATTAGTTAGGGGGAGTTTATGATTCTTGATGAAAAATTAATTTTATGTTCAAATATCGTTTAAAGATTAATTTAATTGTTTGAACATGATTAATTTTCAATATATGAGTTGCCAATACCACTAGAGGAAATTAATTTAGCATTTTGGGTGTTTAAAATCGGATTTTAGCATTTTGGTGCAGAGGGAATCGATCCCCCCTTTGAAGGGGAACCGATTCCCCCCACAGGGGAATCGATACCACCTGGGGTTCTGGATATACACGGGCAGAACCCTTCAAAACTTCAAACCCTCTTCTTTTCTCTTCCTTGCCGCCTATCACTCCTCTACTCTCTCAAATCTCCATTTTTGCCTCAAATCAACGTTCATAATCGGAATTCACTTCAAATATCATCTTCTAAACCTGTTGGAATCATAAAAAACGTGCAAACTTCATCTAATCTCACTCAAATCTGAAATCCTTCAAGGTATTTTTCCAAAACTTCTATTTCATCAATTTATGAACATAGAACTAGTTTTAATTAGTTCTAGAATGAACTTTAGATTGGGCATTGAGTGTTTAGTGATTACAAACTAGATATCACAACTAATTTCATCAAAAACACAAGAATTTTCCAAAAATTTTTAAATTTTCGAAATAAAAAAAATGTTGATTTTCAAATTATTGTGTTTTGATTGAATTGTGTTGTTGTTATGAAAACTATACATATATTGTTTCTCAAAACCGTATTTTTCAAAAGTTTTCAAAAACTTTGCCCATTAGGATTGATTTAGAGAACCTTGAAATATTGAGGACTCAATTGAGTTTTGGGATTGATTGAATTGCATACATGTGTTTTCTAAATTGCAGGTTATCAATTCTATTCCGATTTCCTAAACCATGTCTAATCCTAAACGTGCTAGGTCATCATCTAGTCGCTCACACCGTCAACCAAATCCACTTCCAAATCCTCAAAATCCAATTCCTAATCCTAATCCCATTGATCTTAATTTGACTATCCAAAATTCGTGCTTCAGTCATCCTGGTCCTAGAAATCATCGTTTTTGGTATTATCAATATTTCGACTCTTACAAAATCCGGGAAGAACGTATTCCTTCTCGTCAAGTTATGTTAGATATTAATTTTAAATATCTTCCTCTTTTACAAGAGTGGAAATTTGACAAACTTTTTGATCTTGAACTCATTGTCTACCATCAATTTGTTCGTATTTTCTATTCTAATGTCGTTTGTGTTAAAAACCAAACTGAAACCGAAACCATAGGAATTCGTTCCTACCTCCAAGGACAATTCTTATATATTGACTCGGCTTACATAGCCAATACATTCGGATTAGATAACGATGGTATTTCAAATGAAAAAAAAAATCTTAGGATCTCGTTATAAAAGAAGAGATAGTTCAAGTGTCTTAGACCTTCATGAATGTTTTCTTCATCTAATGATTTCTTGGTGGTTTCGACCATTCGGAGGTCATTATTCTACTCTTAGAGCCTTAGATCTTTGGTGGTTACATTGTTTCGAAAACAATATTAAAATAAACCTACCTCAGATTATTTTTGCTGAAATTGTTAAAACCGTAAATCTTGTTCCTAACAAGAAGCTATGTTTATCTCTAGTTTACGGTTGCATTTTGAGTAATCTGTTTTCCAAAGTTGGGCTTAGAGTCGGTCTAGATGTCGTTTTTCCCCTTAAGAAACAAATTAATCTTCTTTCCTTAACGAGAGCGGGATGGATAAAGGATAAGGAAACCGGTGAATGGGTTTGATCTTCTGCAAATACTCTGGGAGCTAGTTCTTCAAAAGCTCCACCAGAAGCTGAGGACGATCTCGAGCTTGAGCAATTAATGCGAGACATCGATGAAGCCGAAGATGAGCCTGAGCAGCCCGAGGAGCAAGCACAACAAACGCATCAAATGCCTGCATATTTTCAATCCTTTATGGAGACATTCGATTTTCGATATGCTACCATGGATTCGCGCTTTACTTCTATAGAGTCTCATTTATCCACAATGGGAGCTCAACAATTAGAAATTCTTCGGGAGATGCGTGCAAACAACGAAGCAACCAACGCGCGTATTAATGAACTCACTCACGAAATGGCCGCTATGCGAGCTCGTTTTCCTCCTCCTGATCCAGATATGTGATTCTGTGCTTAGCTTTAAAACCTTGAACTAAACGATTATTGCTTCAACTTTTTGGATTGTTTGATTTTGTGACTTTGGATTTGTTTGGATGTTTGAATTTGTGGATTGATTGATTTTGAATTTTTTTGGATTTATGGATGATGTGAACTTATATATTTAGTGTGATTTATTCATTATTGCATCATTTACATAATTTTAGCAATATGACCAATTTTGCCATGTCACATTAATTATGAATATTGATTATGGAACTAATGGCTAACGTTTCTCTTGCTTGTGATCTTAGCAGCTTAAACTATATATAATCAATTGGCTAAATAATTTCAAAAACTTGTTTAAATTCTTTAAAATATCTTTTTGATTTAACAATAAGGGGGAGAAGTGTTAAATGTGTTTTAAATGATAAATGGGAGAAGTGTTAAAGTAAGGGGAAGTAATTTCAAAACTTGATTTCAAAATCTTAAAATTACTAAAATGTTTTGTTATATCGAAAAGGGGGAGATTGTTGAAAATATTTTGATATTTCGATATAACAAATTAAGTTAAATGAATTTTAAGATTTTCCAAATAATATTCTAAGTATATTCGATATAACTATTCAAATATCAAAACATTACTCCAAATCTTTCAAAAATCAGTTTTAATCTTTACTCAAGTGTAAAATTAAGTTTTAATCTTAAAACAATTTCAAAATAATTTTACAAAGTATTTCGAACCATTTCAAAGCCAAAAATTCCAGATTACTCATAGGGAACCGATTCCCCCCCAAGGGGGTACCGATTCCCCCTGAATGGTTTGGCTCCGAGAATTCCAGTATGCTCGGAGGGAACCGATTCCCCCCCAGGGGGTACCGATTCCCCCCTTGTATAACGGTCGAAATATTTGAATTTTACACTTAGGGAACCGATTCCCCATAGGGGTTACCGATTCCCCCCACGCTCCAAGCTATTTTATTAATTGTTTTCACACTAAAACGTCTATATGATCTTCACTAATCATCCCCAACGTTCAGAAGTGATTCAAGGTGTATTTAAACAAGTTCTTAAGCCTTTGATCAAGAAGAAGTCATAGAAAAACAAGAGTGAAAGCATCAAACACCAAGTTTGTGCAAATCAAGCCAATTTTCCTTTCAATATTCATTTTGCTTTCAAAGAACACCATTTGTGCTCATTTTTAATTATTTGTGAGTGTTATTTTCTTGTTCTAGAATTGTGCAAACATCTTACCTTGTGAGGTTTTCCTTGTAAGTTTGCAAATTTGTAATCTTCTCTTTGGGAAAGAGTTTCTCAATAATTGGGGTATATTCTTGAGGGTGTTGTAAGGTTATCTCTTTGCCCTCAAAAGAAAGAACAAATTAGTGAATTTGTTGGAAAATACTTAGTGTGGATAGCTAAGGTAGTGGATGTAGACTTTGATTGAGAAAGTCGAACCACTCTAAATCGATGTGTAATTACTTTTAATTTTCTGCAAAAGCTTCCACCAAATTTTTAATTGCCAATTCACCCCCTCTTGGCCAATTCCGTCAATCGATTAACTCAACACAATACCCTATAATTAAGGGACCGTTTTATAATTTTTAATAGTCGAGTAATAAAATAACACCCGAATCATTTATATACTTTACCCTATTTTCTATTTATTTACTTTATCTTAATTTTAGTGATTTTATTATTTTTCACCCGAAGTGTGGGTTTTTCAATTCCATGTAATACACAAATATCTTAAAATATAAATAATACAAATATAAATTTTTTACTCATTAGGATGAAATACATAATAAAATATAAACCGCCTCTTAAATCTCCTCTATAAAAACCCTCTCTTTCGTTTTTTATTTAACTCATTGAGTCTTCTTATTCTTCTTCAACTTATTCGTCTTCTTTGATTTTCCTACGTTGGCATGGCGGAGGCTCCCACCCAAACCCAACAACCTCGTCCGATCATCAACGTTGTTTTCCACCTTGGCGGCGGTGGAGCGGACGCTGGAAATAAACCCGGGGCGGCGCCGGCGTCAAAAGCTTCCATAGAAGCAATGCCGAAGATAAAAGTGAAAGAGAGTGGTAGAGATTGTAGTATTTGTTTGGAAGAGTTTGGAGTTGATGAGGAAGCTAGGGAGATGCCATGCAAGCACGTATTTCATTCGGGTTGTATTCAGAAGTGGTTGCAGATCCATGGTTCGTGTCCGATTTGCCGGTTTTTGATGCCCGCCGATACGGTCGAAACCGGAGGCGGTGATGGTGGTCGGAGAAGTTCGGAAGATGCGGAGGTTACTGGTTTGGAGTTTTTACATATGCTTTTATCTTTTGCTAGCCAGACAATCTTGATAGGTGTGGGTCGGGGTTCACATCAACCTGGTTCGAATCCTGTTGATGATGATGATACCTCTTCGAATTAAAAACTTGTGTTGCAAGTAAAAACGTGGTTCGCTTTTATGCTATTTTTATTGATATATTAATTTTTCTAAATAATATTAACAACAATTTGTGTATTTTTTATACATATTAAATTTTATCGTTCTCGTAGATAATAAGATTGAACTAAATTATATTTTAGATATTACGTCAATAAGTTCAATTTGATCATACAATTTTAGAAAAGAAAAATATGATTTTTCTTAATTTCCTAAAATTATTTAAACCTTTTCATATCCTTATAGATAAAATCGCTTAAATTTAAATTATAAAAAATGAGTAAATCGTGTTAAATCACTAAGATATCTTAATAAATTGAGTTAATTGTATTACATATTGTCAAAGTATGTCTCTTATTTTAAATTGATACTCAAACTTTTAAATATTTTAATTTCATCCTTAATTTGTGACTATTATTCTAAATTAGTCCTTACTTTTAACATTTTAATTTTATCCCTAAACTATAATCTTCATTCTAAATTGGTCTCCAAACTTTTTGAACATTCTAGTTTTATTCCAAACTACACGTATATAATAATCACATCCCTTATTGATAGAATAGCTATGCCAAGTTATATTAATATATATTTGGGGGGAAACAAAATTTAGGCTACTATGCTTGAAACTAATTACATATTTGGATGAAATTGGAATATTCAAATGTTTGGAGACCAATTGAGAAAGAGGGTCATAGTTTAGGGATGAAATTAGAATGTTCAAAAGTTTACGGACTAATTTAGAATGAGAGACGTAGTTTGAGGATGAAATTCAACTATTTAAATATTTAAAAACCAATTTAAAATGAGGTTTATATAATAGGAACTCGCAATTAACTCTAATAAATTCAATAAATTTAAGTGTGATCAGTTTATTAAATTGAAATCAAAATTAATATCTATTAACTAAAATTTATAATTTATTTTTTCTTAATCGTAAAACATACAAATATTCAATATTTTGTATTTTTGATATTAAATGGATTGTAAATGTGGGCCCACAAATAAAACTGGCATGAAAATAAGCTTAGAATAAGAATATAAAAAAAATCAAGTCGCTATCACACTTCTATGAGCAAATCAAGTCGATTATGTGTATACATATATTTAATATTTTAATTTATTTGAGAATCATGTATTTATATCTATATCATTGTATATGTGGAATACAAATATTAAATATAAATCTAAGAAATTATTTGATATATTTTTTATGCAAAATTTATTTTATAAAAAATTATTTATTTTGATGATATATATTCTGTTTAAGATTTAAATATTAAAATTTAAAATTAAATCAGATAAAATAAACTTTACATAACATATACATCAAATAAAACTTCATAAATATATCAAGAAATATATCAAAATATCTTAATCTATAGAAAAAGAAAACACAATTACCCAAAATTTTAAAAATTTCATTTATTATCTATAATAAAGTTGTTGGCAGTTATAATCATTTTTGTCGAAATTGAAGTGGATAAATCATTAATTGAAAATTGATAATTTAACAGTTATTTTTTAATTATTTTAAACTTAGATCGATTGAATTCGAAAATCAAAATCGGTTGCACCTCAACATAAAAAAAATCATAGAGAGCATACTAACCACTAATTAACCTATATTTTTTAATACTAAAACATTTTTAATATTAGATATTAAATCTATTATTTAATATTAGATATTAAATATGTTATTAAATTAAGTTAATAATACTTTATCAAACAACAACAACAACAAAACCCTATTCTCATATGCAATAGGGTAAGGGTGAGGTAGGGTAGTAGGCTTCCCCCAACGCCAGGTTGAGAGCAGCTTCCGTAGAAGACCTTCGGCAGTCAAAAAATTAAAAATAAATATAAAACACAAAGCATGTATAAATAAATAAATACATAGTTGAACAGTCTTTTTATGCAGTCTTCATATGCGCGTCTGTAATGGGAAATAATCCCTGCGTAAAAATCTCTGCATATAGACAGAAACGTAAGACCTGGATAAATTTAAAAAGAGGAAACATGAAGAGAATGATACACAGAAGTTAGCGATAGCAAGCTACGAGAATGAATAAAGTCAAATGTGTTAAAACCTAAACTAAGGCAACACTACTCCGCTACCCTAGTTCTAAGCCTTCATAAACTCCAATGTCAGAAACGTATAAAAAGTAGAAGTCATGAAAATTACTACAAAGGCATTAAAAAGAAGACAGAGATGCTACACCCTATGGTTGTGACCCACACTACTCAGCTACCCTAGTCTTAAGTCTCCATACTTTCCTATCAGAGGTCATGTCCTCGGTAAGGGCTAAATCCTTCAAATCAGATCTCAAGCAGTCTACTCACTTCCTCCTTGGTCGTCCTCTCCTTCTGGCACCGTCGACTGTAATCGACTCTACCCTCCTGACCGCATCCGACGGTTGTCGCCTAAGGACACGCCCAAACCACTGTAGTCTTCCTTCCCTCAATTTTTCGGATATAGGCACCACCCCCAAGGACATCCTAATTGCAGAGTTTGGTGTCATATCTCACAGAGTCCTACCACATGTCCATCGAAGCATTCTCATTTCTACGGCCTCCATCCTCCTTACGTGATCCTTTTTGATTGCCCAACATTCTGATCCATAGAGCAGCGCTGGTCTTATTGTCATTCTATAAAATTTTCCCTTAAGTTTTAAATGATGTTAAGGATTAATTTATAAAGATTGTAAAACATGAGTGGCAAAATGATAATTTTGCTAAATGGTGTTAAGAAAAAGACTATATAGATTTTAGTCCTTATATGATTATTAATTATGAGTTTTATATTCTTAGGAATCAATTTGAAAATTCTGAAAATTTTACAGATTAAATTAAAAAAAATATTAAATGTTGGAATTTGACATTTAAGATATAGTTCAAATGTAAATAATAGTTTAAAAGTCCCACTGGTTAGGCAAAATTTTTGAAATAATGTTGTGAAATTTTTTTATTCTTGAAATAATGCTGTTAAAAAATTAATTGCTGAAATAGATCGTTTGCTACAGTTGTACCCTTGATCACCAAGTGGTCCAAACGACCTGTGTAGGTCGTCAGGTTATCCAAGCGACCAAGAGAGGTCGCCAAACAATCCATGCGTTCCTGCGTGGTTTGCAAAAATACAAGCAATAAATCCAGGTTTTATAAAATTAAACTTGATTTTTTCCCCAACAAAAGTATTATTTGTGGCCATTTATTAACACAACTAAAGCAAGACAAGAGCAAGTGGACAGACCCCACATTGCAAAAACATAAACAAAAACAGTTTCCACTAAAGATTACTAATAATGATTACTATTAATTTCATAATATTTTAGATTATTAATAATTATTTATTATTAATATTTAATGATTTGATACTAATGATTTAATAATAATTAGTAATAATTAAATTATAATAATTACTAATAATGATTACTAATAATTATTTAATAATGATTAAATAATTAAATAAAATTTATTCAATTTAAATCGAATTTATAAATAGTTGAACTTATAACAAGTCGAATTTATATTTATAAATAGTCGAATTTATTCTTTTTAAAAGAAAAGCAATAATGGTGCCTAAAAAATATCGATATTTTAAAAACATGTATCGATACATAACAATATAACAGGTAAAACTATGATTTTACATTTAACGTAGAGACATGCATATTTAATATTATAATATTTAAGTTTTAATAATATTTAACATAACCCCAAATGTTTTATAAAAGAAAAAGCAATATTGGTCCCTATAAAGTATCGATACTTTATAAACATGTATTGATACATAACAATATAACAGGTAAAACTATGACAAAATCGGTTTCATTATGACAAACCGGTAAAGCGCTACCGAATTTGTTGAATGTATCGATTCCATTAAAATAAGTATTGATACTTTTGAAATTTAAAAGAAAAGAAACCATAATAACGCCTATAAAGTATTAATACTTTATAAACATGTATCGATACATAACAATATAGAAGGTAAAATATGACAAAACTAGTTTCATTATAACTAAACCCTACACACTAAACCCTAACCATTCTCCCTCCAATCAATTTCTTCTTGGAACCCCAAAATAATTAATGCTATAAACATATATAATGATTTAGTGTCTAGGGTTTAGATTTTCAACAACAACCAAAATATTTTAGGGTTTAGGGTTTTATTATAATGAAACCGATTTTGTCATATTTTACCTGTTATATTGTTATGTATCTGTCATAACCATTTTTAGGTGAAACAATTAATGATACATATAAAAATAAATAATATGTACATATAAAGGGGCTGAAATAAAAATAATTAAATATTACAAACCAATATATAACATTTATATAAAATGCATAACAATATAACAGGTAAAATATGATAAAATCGGTTTCATTATGATAAAACTATAAACCCTAAACCCTAAAATATTTTAGTTGTTGAAAATCCTAACTCTTAAACCCTAAACTCTAAACACTAAATCACTACAAAGGTTTTCAATATTAATAATTTTGGGATTCCAAGAAGAAATTGATTGGAGGGAGAATGGTTAGAGTTTAGGGTTTAGGGTTTTTAATAATAACCAAAATATTTTAGGGTTTAAGGTTTTGTCATAATGAAACATGTTTTTCCTATTTTACTTATTATATCGTTATGTATCGATATATGTTTATAAAGTATCGATACTTTATAGGGGCTATTATGGTTGCTTTTCTTTTAAATTCTAAAAGTATCGATACTTATTTGAATGAAATCGATACATTCAACATATTCGATAGCGCTTTATCGGTTTGTCATAATGAAACCGATTTTGTTATAGTTTTACCTGTTATATTATTATGTATCGATACATGTTTATAAAGTATCAATACTTTATAGGCACCAATATTGTTTTTCTTTTAAAAAAAATAAATTCGACTATTTATAAATATAAATTCGACTTGTTATAAGTTAAACTATTTATAAATTGGATTTAAATTGAATAAATTCTATTGAAATATTTAATCATTATTAAATAATTATTAATAATTATTATTAAATTATTTTTATTAATTATTATAATTTAATTATTAATAATCATTATTAAATTATTAATATCAAATCATTAAATATTAATAATAAATTATTATTAAAAATATTATTAAATTAGTAGTAATCATTATTAGTAATCTTTAGTGGAAACTGTTTTTGTTTATGCTTTTGCAATGTGGGGTCTGTCCAGTTACTCTTGTCTTGCTTTTAGTTGTGTTAATAAATGGCCACAAATAACACTTCAGTTGGGAATAAATCAAGTTTAATTTTATAGAACCTGGATTTATTGCTTTCATTTTTGTAAACCACGCAGGAACGCATCGATTGCTTGGCGACCTTTTTTGGTCGCTTGGACGACCTACATAGGTCGTTTGGATCATCTGGCGACTAAGGGTATAACTGTAGTAAACAGTTTATTTCAGTAATTAATTTTTTAACAGTATTATTTCAAGAATAAAAGCATTATTTCAAAAAATTTGCCCAAACAATAAGGAAGTTTGAAGGTAATTTTATAAAATTTTAAAGAAAAATATTAACGTCGCTAAATATTTTTGAGATAAAGTGATTAAAATATAAACAAATTAAAAAGTTAAATTTAAATGGTGAGAATAAGAAAAACAAAATTAAGTGAATAAATTTATAATTTATTTTAAATAAAAAAATAGCATACTAACTATAAATAAAAAAATAATTTTTTCTCTGAATATCTATTTAAAGATTATCAAACAATAAAAGTTCACATCTTACACGTGGTACTCGAATTCAAAAATAAAAACTCTAATTATTGAGATAATTTAGTTCGTACGATGTATTTAAATTCTCAGTTGCCGTCCGTTTCTCAAGTGAAAGACACGTCATCATCAACTCGACCCGAACCCACCACACCCATGAAGCTAGCCAAGCCAACTGAAGTCAAAACCGATTGGAAAACTTCCAAACCATTAACATTCTCCCCACCTTCCAACCTTCCCGGACCACCGTCACCACCTCCCGTTCAGCCTTCCCGATGGGGGGGCATCAAAAACCGATAAACAGGAAACGATCCATGGATCTGCAACCACTTCTCGATACAACCCGAATGAAACACATGCTTACATGGCATCTCCCTAGCTTCTTCATCAACTCCGAACTCATCCAAACAAATACTACACTTGCGGCCACTCTCTTTCACTTTTATCGTCGGCATTGCTTCTATTGAAGCTCTCGACGCCGGCGCCGGCCCAGGTTTATCACCATCTCCGGCACCGAGGTGGAAAACAAAGAAGACGAGCCGAGGAGGTTATCGGTTTTCGGTGGGAGCATGTGCCATGTCAACGTAGGAGAAAAACTAAAGACTTCTTTTTTCTTTTTGGCAAAGGAAAATCAAGAAATATTTTGAATTGAGTAACAGTTGATAGAGAAAAGAATGATTTTTATAGATGGATTTGAAGATTCTAGAAGATTCTGTTTTATCTATGTGTTGAATCCTAATTGGGGAACAAATATTATATTTTAGAATGTATTAGTTGTGTAAAGTATTCTATATTTATCTTCTTTTTATTTTTTAGCAAATAAATAATTTAATTATATAAATTTTAACATTTGATATATTATATTGAGATAAACTAAAATATTCTAACATTTATCTACCTATCTTGTCATCTCCCTTGGTTTGACGTCGTCTTTTTTACCGTCGCATTCGCATAGTGTCTCGATTTAAGGTTTGTCGGGTAGCTTTGTTCTTCGTTGGGTAGAGATTGATGGCTATTGTTTTATGACTGTTAGTCAGGTAACTGGTCGTTGGTAGAGGTACGATCTGGTGAATGTTTGATCAACAGCAACAACAATAAGGGCAACGGCTGCCGTGAGTTTAAAGATTGAAATTAAGATTTTTAAAGTCTCGAGGCAATTTTGAGATTTAAGATAATTTTGGTTTTGTTTTTAAAAAGAATTATAAATGTAAAGATTCTTTATTTAAAATGAAAATTTTAAAATTCTATAAATAGGACAAATTTCGGATAACAGAATCTTTTAACGGCTGTTACGGATAAGACATTTAAAACAGTAACAAACTTTCTTTTAAAAAATAATACCAAACTTTCTGCACTCAGTTCATCTGGATACATAAGTATACTAGTTTTTATTCTTCCTCTAAGATTGAAGAGTGCAATTAAAAGACTTCGATTACATTCAATTGAATAAAAACCACAAATTGCAAAGGTTATCAGAATCTAGCGCCCTTAATATGAGAATTAAAAAGCTGACCTCACCATTGGTATTTGGCAGCAACGAGGACTTCCTCGTACTTCTCAGCTGCATTGTCCCAGCTCAGATCTTGCTTCATTCCCCGTATTTGCAACCCTTCCCAGCTTGTTTTATACTCTCTATATGTCAACAAACAATTCCCTAGAGCATGTATCAACTTGTTCGCATCCGCACTGTCGAATGTCCAACCGAGTCCCGACTCTTCAAACGGATTGAATTGCTGGACTGTGTCCCTCAATCCACCCACCGCATGCACAACCGGGATCGTCCCGTAGTTCATAGCATACAATTGGTTTAGTCCACAGGGTTCGAATCTTGATGGCATCAGTAAAATATCTGCCCCGGCTGTTATACGGTGAGCTGTCTTTACTGAAAACCCTACCCATCCCCTTACCTTGTCGCGATGTTCGTTTTCAAACTTTCTTAGCAACTGTTCTAGGTCGGCTCTGCCGGTTCCTAACATGACTAACTGTACATCCTGGCCCATCATCCAGGGAATTGCCTCAGCGATTAGATCAACGCCCTTTTGTTGATCTAGTCTCCCGATAAAGCCGAGCAGTGGGACATCTTCACGAACCGGTAGCCCAAGCTCCTTTTGTAGGGCGGCCTTGCATTGAGGTTTGCCGGTTTTCAGTGTTTCCAAGGAGTAGTTAGTATAACCATCTGACTTGAGGTGAATGTCATACTTCGGATTCCACTCCTTTGTATCGATTCCATTGACTATTCCCCTCAACTTCCAATCGTTTTCGTTTATGATCCCATGCAAACCCCAACCACCTTCTGAAGTTTTGACCTCCCAAGCGTATCCATGGCTAACGGTGACCACTCGGTCAGCCGTCTTTAGTCCAGCCGCAAAGATATTGAAGTGATCACCTCCTATTGGGTCATATAACTTGAAGAGGTCCATGTAGTGTTCCTGTAGATCGACATAGTTGAAATCTTCAACCGGCCCACGACCCTGGATTCAATTCAACATTTAGAATATAGCTATGAAGAAATTCAAATAATCATACCCATATCCGACATCCAAACCTGGTGAGCGATGTTATGGATAACAAGAACGGATCGCGTGAAGGACATCAAACCATTATCCCGATAATATGCCTTCAAGTACACTGGCAACAAGGCAGTATGCCAATCATTAGCGATGAAAACCAGATTTCCATCTCCATAGCAGACACCACCACATGGAACATGCCACGGAACCTGAAATAAAACGAAACCAACTTCACTTTACGACACTAATAAGATAATCGATATTTTAAAAAACCAAAACAAGGCTACACCGAAAAGAAGAAAATGGCCTCGAGAAACCTCAAACTTCACCAATAATGATCTCAATAAGACCATTCTAGCATGGGAAGTCTCCGCATACGAGAGTAAATAATAAGAGACCAGTCATCTGGGCCGTAGAGATAATCCTTAACAAATAATGCAGGTGTTAAAAAGACCTATATATTTTGGCAATTGTATCTAGCAGCTGTTTTGGAAACATGCCGATATCGAGGTCAATCGCTGAACTCAACATTACCTTCACTATGCTTTACATAAATGAGAAAAATTTAGGGGCTATTTGTAAACATAATGAATATGGAAGTCAAACTGACATTGAATATCTGAAGCTATAACGCTAAAGTTCTTTTCCTGAGTATGATCAAAGTTGATCCGGTTTTTCACAACCAAGTCATATAAATTACAGAAACTTTAAAACCAAGAGACAGAGCAAGTCAAATTCTACATATTATTAGGCAATTTAGAAACTGTACCTCGACCGCTGCTTTGCAAAACAATACCATGCGCTTCAAAATATCCTGCACCACAAGACTGAAGTTGTTTAAATTTCGGAGTATAGTTTGTAAACTATATTGTCCTGAACCCATGTCCGACGCACATGCACACAATGATATAGAGATACATCTCTCCACATACATGGAAAAATTGAAAATTTTGAACATATGCATGTCGGAAACATACCGACATCCAACACTTGCATCCAAATCTAAGTAACATAGGCTGTGACTACCCAATCACACTAATACAAGATGTAAAAGAAGCACAAGTTTTAGAAAAACCTATAGTAAGTTATAATCAGCCTTGGATTAAAACATTAAAATTAAGCATTTGATGGCCAATTTCTTTGAACCTTGTAGTAATAGCTTTGACATGTTACGAACATCACATGCGTATTCGAAAATTAGACTATTAACTAATCATAAGTCAATAAGAAATGATAATTCTACCACACGGTTTCCTCCATATATGTTATTCTGCATATGTTGAAACAAGGGACTGTCCACAAAAACAAAATCCACACCATCAATATACGCTTGGAAGTAGGTTACTTCTATATCCTGCAAATAACATAACATCGCGATTGTGTCGTGGAATTAGTCGATTATGTTTTAAAGATCAAAAGCTAAGTAACTTACAACAATATGCTCCATCATACCTGTCCGTCTACCTTATACCTCTTTCGAACTCCGGTAGCTTGAGAATCAGCATATTCCGCATATCGAGGTACCACAACCTAAGCAAAAGAGAAAAGTTGCTATCAGACCATATAAAGCACCCGAGGCATCTGTAGGTTCATTGTCAGGGAACTAAGATGAAATGCCGGGTGCTAAACACAAATTGTTCATAAACTGCGAGAAAGAAAATGTAAAGCATTAACCCTAAATGGTTGACTTCAATTTAATGAGGCCTATCTTGAATGCTAAGATATTCAATTAACATAAAAATCAGAGCCGACATATTACCATAACCCTATGTCCACGTCGAGCCAAAGCCTTTGGCAAAGAACCGGCAACATCTCCAAGCCCACCTATAATAAGAATATCTTAGTGCACAATAACATATAAAATGACAAGTCACATGCCATCTTCCTATCGAGAAAAGAAAGGGAGACTGTCACCTCAGATTATCTATCAATGCCACATTACCTGTTTTAGACCACGGGGCACATTCTGCTGCTACTAATATAACATTCATGACGTTTGCACCTGCTAGTGGCGGGGGGTTTTCACCTTCAATGGCAGAATCATCTACCTCAGCAGCCTCCTTCGAGACTGCTTTGGCCAAATTTTCATTCTGTTCATCTGTAACTCGGGCATTGTCAGATGAACTCAAGAGATAAGAAGGAATCACATCAAACTTAAATGCTTTAGAATCAGCGATTTTCGGCTGTTTCGTAGAACCTATAGTAGAGGAAGCCTTTTCAGGGGGCAAATATAGGTCAGGTTCCTCTTGAACTTCAGTAGAAGGTAGGATCTCCGATACATTCTTTGTAGCTGAATTGGCACGACTGTTTGAAAGAATGCTACCATTTTTGTCTTCATCTACTCTGTCGGAGCTGATAGAAGCAAGGTCTGGATTGGGAAGAGAGTTACTCCCCTGTTTATGAAAATCTCCATCTTCATCTTGGTCAACAATGCTACCTTTTATCGATGAAACCAATTTCCTTCGTTCAGCAATCTGCCATGGATACAGAAAATGAGTAAAACAAATAAGATTTTGATTCTCAATAACAAAATTAGCAAGAGATATAGCTCCTGAAAGGCAAGGTTAGAATATATAACATCATAGACATCACACAGTTCCTTATTTCCATCCATGCGCCAAAAGGTTTCCATCACCAAAATTTCAACCACGGAAACAACACGAAGTTCAGAGCTCAAAATGCAAACCAAACCAAGAAAAAGGTTGATATAAGAATACTGCAGAATATTCATTCTCATCATCGAACAAAAATATACCTGATAGGTACCAAGTAACGGAAAAAAATACCAAATGCTAGTTAGAAGTTAGAACACAAATATCCAAGTAATCCTGCACTCCAATAGTAAGTCGAAGGAGTCCAATACCATAAAAGCAGACACTTATCCCGGATTCAAGTACATAGATATTTCAGAGACGACGTACGAGTATAGATACCCTTTATAAATGCATCTCTGAAATCTAAAAGCACGTAGAGTAAGAAAACTATATATGAAATGGCTGATTACAAATGGAATCATATCTCCAAGAAAGCTACAAAGACTTTTGCTATTACTATATTTGTTTCTTGTTTATTGGTTCAATGGAGTTCCATTGCAAGTTAGGTATAGATTATAGAATTTGAAAGTAGCTAATCACAATAAGATTCAAAGCCATAATTCCCATTATCCCATATCTATTTATCTCTGTTTGCTGCAAAAGTCAACATTTAAGTGTCACATTCAATAAAGTACCAAAGAATGGATCACAACCCATAAAATAAACACCCATCATATGAATAAAAAAGCACATTTTTAGTCTAAAAGAAACCCAATTTTACTATAAAAACAAAAAAGAAAGAAAGAAAGAAAGCTACCTGTTGAAGTAGGTCTTTTTGCATGGCAAGAACCTTCTTGCTCTTCTCAATTGTATCCTGAAGTGTATTATCTGAGCTATCACCACCAAGGCCATCCGTAGAACTAGCCAACCCAACAGGCTTAAATCTCCATAGCTTCCCTTTGTTATTATAAAACAAAGAAACCCCACATGTTGAACCATTCGAAACAGCCAAAGTTTTAATCTTTCTCGGCCTAAAAGTTGAGAAAACAAAAGGTTTGCTTTCCCTATTTCTGTCAATCATAAAAGGTGAAGAAGTACCAATGGAAGCCATTTCCCAGGGCCAGAAACTACCGACTCAAAAATCAAAATAATAAAACCAAAATCCCCCAAGAATACCCTTTCTTCTTCTTTTTTACAACTTAATTTGGGGGAAATGGGTGAATGGCAAGTTATAGTCTTTTTTACATAAAAAAATGGTTTTCGGGGGGGGGGGGGGGAACCATGGAAATGAAGAGGATAATTTGTGGAGTGGTGTTGTTAAAGTGGGTCCCAAAAGCTTGGAAATCATGGTGAATGAATTTGTCTGTTTTTTCTATTTTTTCTGAGGTTCAAATTATCTGAGAATTTTGGAACAGAAATTGGAGAGTTTGCTTTGCTAGAGATCTGGTTTTGGGCCATGGTTGATGAGAGGTAGATGAAATTTTTAGTTTTAGATTTAATATTTTTTATCGTTTATATATTATTATTTGTAAAAAAAGTTTTTTTTCCAGAATTCAATATATTATCATTGTATAATATTCCTTTTAATTATTTTGTATCAACTTGACTTTAATAATCTTCCACCTAACCAATTCATTTAGTCCAATCTTTTGTGAGTTGAAATGTAGTTGGGCTTCATTTTTATGCAAAGTATCTGGGGTAAAGTATAGAAATCATCACTCGACTATAGGATACTATTTTGTTGAGTTTTCAAATTATTAAAAGTTACAAAATGGTCTCCACTATAAGGTATTGTTTTGTTGAGTCTTTGACTATTAAAAGTTACAAAATGATCATCTGACTATTCATATGTTCAAAACTCATATTTTTCTGTTAAAAATTGATGGATATCTGAATTGGAAGTTAACTTGCTGATAGAGATATGAAAAAATCATATTTTAATGATGTTTACTTGCATTGTTGTTGCTTTCAAGCACTGATTCGACAATATAATATTTCAAGCAATGGCTTGATGACATAATGTAAACGAAGACTCGATCCATAGAATACAACTCAAACGATTCTATGATCATATTTTATTATATCCCAATGAGCAGGTTAACATTCAACTCAGACAACCGTCAATTTTTTAACAGAAAAATATGGATTTGAAACAAATAAATAGTCAATTACTATTTTGTAACTTTTAATAGTCGAGTGACTCAACAAATAGGGATTTATAGTAGGAAGTCCAATTTGTAACTTTCAATAGTCAAGAGACTCAACAAAACAACACCCTATAGTCAGGGACCATTTGTGTACTTTACCCATTATTCTATTAGCCATTTTTATAATTTATAATTTATTATTTTTATTATTATTTTAATATATATATTTTAAAATTTAAAATTTTTGATTATAATTTAAATGATAGTTATGAAATTTAACAATTCAAATATGAATCATTATATTATGTGTAATATGTTAATTTAACTTTTGTACTCTAATTTAATATTTTAAGCATATATACGGTATACTTTAATCATATTATCTATATATTTTTAAATTAATATTATTAGTTTAAAAAGTAAAATTTAAATTTGAAGATTTTTTTATTAATCTTAAAGTGAGTATAAGGTAATATCTATTGAAAGATTTTCAATCATTTGACATTAAACCCATGTACCCCTAGCATACATGATACATGATACATGAACTCGAAACTTCAACAAATAATAGCAATTCTTTAACTATTAAGGTAAATTGGTTCGTGTAATTAAAATTTAAAGATTAAATTCATAATTTACAAATAGTACTAAGATTACGATATAATTGGACCTTTTTTTCCTAGGAAAAAATCAAGCATGACAGAAGTAATGGGTTCACCTTTCTTGAGAATTTAAAACGTGGATGAAAAGATGACGAACTTGGTACACAAATGTCAATTCTACCTATGATAACTACTCTTAGACGATTAATCATTTTTTTTTCAAATATCAAAGGGTAGAATTAACTCATACGAGCTGTTTTAATTTAAAGATAAAGTAGATAAATGGTATCAAATTATAGGATATTATTTTTTGAGTTTTTCTATTATTAAAAGTTGTCTCGTTACTATTAGGAGTTATTTTATTAAATTTTTTTATTATTAAAAGTTATAAAATGATCACTCGATTATTCATTATATTCCAAACTCATCCTTTTTCGTTAAAGTATCTTCATCTTCAAGGTAAGAAATATGTTAGAATCTCCAAGGGCTATAGGGTAAGATGCATATTACCTATTTTTGAGAAACTTGGAATTTGAAGGTTTTGAGATAAATTTAGAGAAGGTGAGAGATTTTAAGACCCATTTATAGGTTTAAATTCGTCCATTGGACCTCTTTTTATCATGAGTTTGAATGGTTTTCCATTTTCTTGTGTTTGAGAAGCAAAGGAGCAAGGTGGACCATCTAAAGCTAGAGACAAAGGCAAGCTTAGTGATCACTAATCAAGAAACTTCTTTTTAATGTTTTGGTGCAAGATAATGTATCTCTAACACCTTGTAGTACTATTCCTATCATACAAATGATGCCTTATGATATAATATAAATTATGAGTATGTTATGGGTGTTTGTATGATTTTTAGCTTGGATGTTATTTGGACGTTTCAAATGGTGTTTTTAGATGTTAAATGGACCTATATGACTCTGAGAACTTTTAGAAGCAATTTAGACTTTATGGGTGACTTGAAGACGAAATTTGGGAGTGAAATTTGAGTTTTGAAAGTTATTTTTTGTGTTTCAATATCGATATGATTCTTGAAATATCGATGTCAGATGAACAATAAATAAATATGGGTAAAAACAATTAGTAGTATCGATATTATTCATCATATCTATCGATATTATTTATAGAGTATCGATACTAAGGATGATGATATTAATATTGGGTTATCCTTCAAATCCCAATGGCCTATTTTGGTATTGGTATCAAAAGTGGGTATTGATACTATAAAAAGGAATTATCGGTTTTAGTACGAGAGTATCAATACTCAATTCATTTTAGCAAACTTCATATCTCATTTTGATATCAATATCGAAGAATGATAGTATCGATACACATAAAGGAGTATAATATTGCTAAGCTGACGGGTTTAAGTGTCTTATTTGTTCTGAGCAAGAGTTATGATGCTTGATTTAACTTGATCACATAGTATTAACTCTAATATTAATAACACACTAAGTGTATTCGTCCAAATCAGACTAAGTGGTAATTGATGGTCAACCTAGTGTCGAATGTGAGTTAATGGGCTTTGGGCCAATGAGATGCCTTAGTGACGAGAGTATGGTGGGTGTTGAATGTGAGTTAATGGGCTTTGGGCCAATGAGAAGCCTTAGTGACGAGAGTATGGTGGTGTCGAATGTGAGTTAATGAGCTTTGGGCCAATAAGAAGCCTTAGTGACGAGAGTATGGTGGGTGTCGAATGTGAGTTAATAGGCTTTGGGCCAATGAGAAGCCTTAGGGACGAGAGTATGGTGGATGCTGGTCTTAGTGACGTTCTTGGTAATAACACATTGAATGCTACTTTATTTAATAGATATTGCACTAAATTAATCGTTCTCAACATTTGATGAATTTTTTATTATTATATCTATATCTGAGATTAAAAATGGCATATTTAAAATCATGGTAACTTATAATACTTGAGAAGTATATATATATATATATATATATATATATATATGATAAATTTAGGATGAATATGAGGAAATATCTGTTTAAAGACTCTAAATCATTTGACAATGAATGCTCATATCACTATATATGTGGTACTCAAACTCGAGACTTTAAGGAATAACAACAAACCCTTAATCACTGTTATCATTTGGTTCGTGCACAGGGAAGTATATATATATATATAGAGAAAATAACCTCAGTGACCAAAAATCCCATATAATATACGATTTTAACCAACTTTTTCCGGATTTTCCAAAATGACCAACAAAATCGCAATGCGATCGCTAATTCGCAACGTGATCTCCATTATCGCAAATCAGTTTCCAGATTCGCAACGCGATTATGACTATCGCAATGCGATTTTCCAATTTCGCGTTGCGATTTTCCCAATTCGCAATGCGAATTTGGAAAATCGCAATGCGAACTTGGAAAATCGCAACGCGAATTTGGAAAATCGCAACGCGATACTGACTATCGCAACGCGATAATACAAAATCGCAACGCGATACTGACTTTCGCAACTCGATACTTAATTTCGCAACTCAATACTGACTTTCGCAACGAGATAATACATAATCGCAATACGATTTTTAAAGCGTCATTAGTATCGCAAAGCGTATTTTATTTTCAAATTCCAAACACGAATATTAATATATTGGAACACTGAACCATCCACAGTATATCCCGTAATCGCAACTCATAACCTAAAACCTAAAATCACAACTCAGTCCCATCTCCATCTCCCACTCTCTCACCCATCTCCGACGAAATCCGTCCCTATCTCCGGCGAAATCCGTCTATCTCCATCTCTCAGAGCCACCCTCACAATCAGAAATGGAAAATCAACCAAATCAACCACCGAGGGTTAGTTTTTTTAATTATTTTCTTTTTGAAATTTTTGCATTATTATTAGGTTTTTCATATTGAAATTGATGATAAGTTTACTGGTAATTTCAATAATAGATTAACCATTTCACTTAGATTGCTTATTAAATCAACCGAGAATCGCAACGACAAAATCGCAACGCGATTTTATTCTCTCGTTGCGATAGTCAAATTCGCGTTGCGATTGTCATTTTCGTGTTGCGATTTTCATTTTCAGAAACTATTATTCTTCTGCAAATTGAAACTTGAATGAATTGCATTACTTCAACCAAAAAACAAAGACAAATAAGAAATTCACAGTGTTGCAAATTTAAGTTTGAAGAATAAACTACTACTCTTTATGTTTATTATTGTTTTTGGTATATCTTCACAGTGTAGTTTTTGGTATATCTAACTTAGTATGTTTATTGTTTTTGTAGAACTTTTATTCGGCTCAATTGACCTTAAGAAATAAAGTCAGCCTGGCTAAAACAATTGCGTCAAAGCTTTCACCTACACAAAGAAAAATGTTTGAGGATACTTGCTTCGGGCCATGGCTGAAAGTACAACATCCCGGTGGAGATGCGATGTTGACACACCTGTTTCTTCAAACCATGACTAGGGATCTACCAGATACTATACAACGTCGTGATGAAGAGATATGGTTTGATTTTCCACCGGC